ACATGAGTCATCACACAGAGGTGACAATATCAGCAGACACCTTCCCATTCAAAACAAAGGGCACCCTACAGCAGTGCAATCACACATTCCAGGGTTGGGAAAAAAAAGAATCTGTCAACTAGAGTTCTCGATCCAATTAAATTCTTTCAATAATGGAAGGCAGAATAAAAACATTCCGAGATAAACAAAACCTGAATCTGTTGCAAACCGACCTCTCCTAGATAATCTACTAAAGCTCTTACGCTGAAAGAAAATGGTACAAAATGGTTACTCAGATTCTCAGGAAGTAATGCAGAACATGGGAAATGGCACATATGTCTGTAAATATAACAGACTCGTGTGTGTGTGCGTGTGTGTGCGTATATATATATATATATATATAATCTTCTACTTTTGAAAGCAGTGATTACATCCTTCTATTAATGAGTATATAACATATATAGTATATATGTCCATCATAGCACAGAGGAGGGACTAGGAAGTAGAGCCGCACTGGTGTAAATTTGCCAAATTTTACTGAAATTAACTCCATGCTAAGCTGATGAAAACTGTGATGAATTCAGGAAGCACATTGGAATCCCTAAGGCAACCGCTAAAAAAGTAACTAAGAAATATAGCTAAGAAATCCACAGAGGACATATTTATCCTCATTATGCAGATAAGAAAATGAGTCTGTAGTGAATTCGTATAATTTTATGTTGCCTCAGCATCCGTTTTGAATATAAATTGGACTTTTTCATCCCAGAAGCTGGACTTAGTCACCTTTGAGACACAATTTTCAGTTCTCCATCTCCTCTGAGTTCCTCAATGTGGTTGGTCCAGATATCTGCTTATACAACTGCCTTCTTGTAACCACCTCCCTAGGGCACAGCCAGATACAACCTACTTTGACCTGTCCACCAACCCCCACACCTCATATGAACTGTACAGGTAGGCTCAGCAAGCCACCTCTCAGTCACCTGTGACCTCACAGAACTCCTGCCTGCTTATTCTAAACCCGTCAATTAAAACTCCCCTTAGGAAACCTGCTTTGTTTCTCTCTATCCCAATCAAGGCTTTGGCCCAGGCCAGGCATGGCGGCTCACACCTGTAAGGGAGGCCAAGGCAAGCGAATCAACCTGAGGTCGGGAGTTTGAGATCAGCCTGATGAACATGGAGAAACCTCGTCTCTACTAAAAATACAAAATTAGCTGGGTGTGGTGGTGCATGCCTGTAATCCCAGCTACTTGGGAGGCTGAAGCAGGAGAATTGCTTGAACCCGGGAGGCAGAGGTTGCAGTGAGCTGAGATTGTGCCATTGCACTCCAGCCTGGGCAATAAAAGACTTTGGCCCAAAGGTCCCTCTCTCTCCCCACACGCTGGTTGAATGTATATCATGGACGACTCTCACCCTCCCGTTGGCCCTGTGAGGCCTCCTTCCCTGTCCTCTCTGATCTGTGAGTAATACACTCTTCTGTTATTTCATGTGGGTTTTGTTTTGTTTGTTTGCTTGTTTGTTTTTTTGAGACAGAGTTTTGCTCTGTCACCCAGGCTGGAGTGCAATGATGAGATCTTGGCTCACTACAATCTCCACTTCCCGGGTTCAAGAGATTCTCCTGCCTCAGCCTCCCTAGTAGCTGGGATTACAGGTGACCACCACCACACTTAGCTAATTTTTGTATTTTTAGTAGAGACAGGGTTTACCATATTGGCCAGGCTGGTCTCGAACTCCTGACCTCAGGTGATCCACCTGCCTCAGCCTCCCAAAGTGCTGGGATTATAGGCGTGAGCCACCACACCTGGCCTTATTTCATGTGTTTTGCTGAGTTGCCTCTTCTGTGTCTCACCCGACCAACACACCTTCTTTCCCCATTAGGACTCTCCTAGAGAAGAGCTGTCTTGGTAGGAATAAACTGGCCACAGGTCAGACAAGAGCCACAAAGGCATCTTCCAGTATAAACAAGTTTTCTGTGAGAGGCACATCCTGTCACGGGTTGGACACCTAGGCTGTCTGCCGGGGTAAAGAAGTGTCCCATGAAATACACACTATAAACATTCATGACCAAATCCCCGGAACCCTAGCAGGACAGGGCTAGAGTTTACACCGGTGCTCCTGGGAGAGACCTCAAGACCAAATTAGAGGAAACTACAACAGAGTCCTAGAAGGCGAAACAATCCGCCACAGCGGGGGCTGGCCCCCGGGGCTCCCAACTCCACACATCAGCCCTGGACTGATGCCTGCCAGGGAGGCAGGTGGGGCAGGTGGGAACCCGCTCAGGCAACATGCATCCATGTGAGAATTCCCTCACGTCCCTGTGGGCTTTTTCTCAGACTCTTCAGCTATCAGTGAAGGGAATGTTTTCTCGAGAAACTGTAAATTCATTCCCAGTATGTGAAAAGATTTCCCTTGACACCCCCAAAATAAGATTTTTATTTTATATTGGCTTTTTTTTGAGCCTAAAAATGACTGAATGTAAGCTGGATGCAGGAGTTAGAGGGGCAACTTCTCAAGCGAAGCTAATGAGCTGCCATGCTCAGCAGACGCTCCAGAAATGCAGCCTCTGCAGCCTCCCTGCACTCTCGATGATTTTGTCACCATTAATTTTATGTCTGCCTGAATGGTCTCTCTGCATCTGGGAGGGCCTGACACCCCTTCATCAAGCTCACACTGACACGGCAGAAACACTGGGGAGGGGAGGCAGGGCAGGACTTCCTAGCTCATGGACTGAGTGGGACATTGTGCCTGTTTTCACAAGTTCCCACAGCAGTAGGAAGGGAAGCTTGGCCCACGGAGCCTCACATTCGTGAGAACTGAGCTGTGTCGAAAGCTATTCCTGCCTGCTAAGGAGCTGTTTAATCCTGCAAAGATTAAAAAAGCTAAACTACTTAATATTTCTTTTCGAATAAATATTACAGTACATTTCTGAAAGTAGAAGCTGATATTAAATAAGCCCATACTGTGGGCCAGAGTCAAAGGTGTTCAAACCACAGTGCCTCCATCTTGAACAGGGGCTGGGTAACACGAAGCTGAGACCTGCTGGGCTGCATTCCCAGGCGGTCAGGCATTCTTAAGCTGCAGGATGAGATGGGGTCCGCACAAGATACAGGTCACAAACACTCCGCTGTTAAGACAGGATGCAGTGAAGAAGCCGGCCAAAACCCATCAAAACCAAGATGGGATGAAAGCAACCTCTGGTGGTCCTCACTGCTCATTATACATTAATTTTAATGCATTAACCTGCTAAAGACATTCCCACCAGCACCATGACAGTTTACAAATGCCATGGCAATGCTGGGAAGTTACTCTGTATGGTCTATGAGGAGGAGCTCTCAGTTCTGGGAAATCCTTGCCCCTTTCCCAGAAAACTCCTGTATCATCCACCCTTGTTTAGCATATAATCAAGAAATAACCATAGAAATAGGCAAGCAGTAGTCGACGGAGCTGTTGTCTATGAAACAGCCATTCTTGTTTCTTTAGTTCTCTAATAAACTTGCTTTCACTTTACTCTGTGGACTCACCCTGAATTCTTTCTTGTGCAGAAACCAGGCCTAAGCTAAGCTCTGACCTGCTCTGTGTTATTTAATCCTCACAGCTATCCCATATCTTGGTTTTATTATCCCTGTTTTTCCGATGAAGAAACTGAAGTACAGAGAAGATGCATCAGACAGATCTGAGCCAGCCCAAGCCAAGTTGTTTCTGGGTAATTGTTAAACTGGTCGTTGCCAGAACCTGAATGGAGAATGTATGTCAAAAAGAGCCTGAGACACAAACTGATGCGTTTTAATCAAAGGCTCCCGTGTCTTCATCACTCCCATCTGATTGGCCCTGTAAACCAAAAAGCATTTGAGACAGGTCTCAATTAATTTAGAGGTTTATTTTGCCAAGGTTAAGGATCACGGCCTGTGACACGGCCCCAGGAGGTCCTGAGAATATGTGCTCAAGGTGGTTGGTTACAGCCTGATTTTACAGTTGAGAGAAACAGAAGTTACAGGTAGACATAAATCAACACATTAGGTATACATTGGTTTGGCCTTGAAAGCCAGGACATCTCAAAGTAGAGGCGTTGGGAAATGCTGCCAGGTCACAGGCCAGTTCAAAGATTTCCTGATTAGCAATTGGTTGAAAGAGTTAAGCTCGGCCTGAAGAGTCCAAGTCGGCTTGAGCTAAGATAAAACGGTGGTTGTGGAAGCCAAGGTTGTTATCATACATGAAGCTCCTGGTAGCAGAATAGATGTGACTGCCTCTTATCAGACCTTAAAAAGTATCAGACTCTCCAGAAAAGACCTAGTTAGGGAAGGAGATTCTCTACAGCTCATAAATTTCCCCAAAAGAGACAGCTTTGCAGGGCCATTTCAGAATATGTTAAAGAAATATATTTTGGGGCAAAATACTTGGATTTCCTTCAGGGCCCGTGATCTGTCATATGATATACCAGAGTCAGGTTGGAATTTGGTATTTATTGCTACAAAGGGTCTGTTTGGTCCATCTTAAGAGATCTGTTTGAATGTGAATGTCTGTTTAATGTGAAAGTCTCTCCTCTCCAAAGGAAGGAGTGGATAATGAGGCTAGTCTACATACTGTCCCCTTCTCGTCATGGCCTAAACTAGTTTTTCAGGTTCTTTGGGGTGCTTCCTGGCTGAGAGAGGGGTCCATTCAGTCAGATGGGGGAGCCTAGAATTTTATTTTTTATTTTTTGAGATGGAGTCTGGCTCTGTCGCCCAGGCTGGAGTGCAGTAGTACGATCTCGACTCACAACAACCTCCATCTCCTGGGTTCAAGCGATTCTCTTGCCTCAGCCTCATGAGTAGCTGGGATTACAGGCGCACACCACCATGTGAGCTAATTTTTGTATTTTTAGTAGAGACGGGGTTTTGCTATGTTGACCAGGCTGATCTCGAACTTCTGACCTCAAGTGATCTGCCCACCTCGGCCTCCTAAAGTGCTGGGATCAGGCATGAGGCACTGCGCCCAGCCAGAGAATTTTATTTTTGGTTTACAGTACAAAAACAAAGATCTGCAGCCAGTGTTCTCATGTCTTTTTAATCATTCATATAGATTTAATCAGGTAGACAAAATCTCAGGGTTCACCTGGGATCATTCAGAAATCAGAATTCCTCAGAAATTTTCACAGCAGTTGCAGCAGCACAAACTCAAATGCTGATTTTTATCAAATGTTATTCATGAACAAACTTGAAAAGGCATTTCATATAGAACATTACATTTCTCCCTGACTCTACTGTATGATAAAAATTAAAAACGATGTAAACATGTTTTAAAGTCATAGTGGTCATTAATAAAAGCAACCAGCCACACTACAGTGAGGCATTGTTAGAATTTCGCTCTCAAGTTTACTTAGCTTAGTAAAGCACACTGTTCTTCGAGATTTCAGCTTTGGTTAGTCCTCTTTGGCTGACATGAACATTTTGAGTATTAACTGTGGTAGCAACATGTAACCAAAAAGCATTCTTTATTAAATACATCTAGAGGAGCTCAATGAGCTGAAGAAATTGCTATAATGCTCCTAGTGTCAGTCTCTCTGTACCGGGAAAACTCTGACCTCACAGTTGAGGTATTATCAGTTAATGCAAAGTATGCGGCAGGAGCCTGATTTCCACCCATGCAGATATCTTCAGACCTGGGAATTCTTGTAAATACCAAAATAAAATCTTGACCTGTTTTGCTAATGAGAATAAAAGGCATGACTGTAAAATGTACATCTTAATAGAAAAATATTACAAGGTTTTAATTTTCTAAATACCAAGGGTTAACATTTGATGATTACCATTTTAAAATACGGTATTTTGGAACATTTTAAAAGTTTTCAAAATAAGTACAAAGCTCATTCACATTTTTACTAAATCCAACAACACTTTCACAAACGGCAAAATTATTTCCTCCTCAAAGCAGAGCAGCCCAGTTTTTAGTGGACTCCGGTCACGGCTTAGCTAAAGTCTTTGTTGGGCAGAGTTCTGGGTCCACAGTCTCCTTTGATGGGCCCCTTGATACACGAGGCTTCAAAACATGCGCTCCTTGAAGAACCATTTCTGATTATCTGAGCTGGTACAGTCTCGTAAGAGTGGGACGAAACTGTCACTCGATTCCTTCCTCTCAGCCTGGACACATTTCTGGGACTGTTCATGAAATAAAGAACCATCCTACAAAAGATAACATACAGAATGACAGGCAAGTCATCAGAAAAGTCTCTTTTCCCTAAACATGTGGTCTAAAGAGCCCAGGGTCTGATTTCTATTATTTTAGAAATATTTATTGAAGGGTAAGTGTCTTCCATGTTAACCAGCAACTCAGGACTGTCCCGGGGAAGTGGAGCACCAGGCTTGTACAGGCTGTGTGCCCTGCTTGACTCTCACAGGGCCGATGGTGCCACCTGCTGGTTGCTCTGGGCATGTGTCAGACCCTACAGCTCCTTACTGCATTTCCCTTCCTTCAGGGAAATCAGAAACAAAGATCCTTTGTTTATCTCTTTCACTCCTCTTAGGTCAACTCATTCCATGCAGGGTGATTCCTTTCTCTTAGGCATTTAAACAGAGAGTGTGGAAACCTGGCTGTAGTCGCAGCTCAGCCACAGACCAGCTGGGAGAGGGAGCCAGTCACATGGCCTGAGCTCCTCACCTGTTACACATCAGGGTGAGAGGCAGTGGGTTCTATGCCCTATGCTAATCTCCAAACCCCAAAGACGATGGTCTTCTTTAATGACTTCCTGCTTCTCTCCTTTCTGCCATGGTGTTTATATTTTCCCTCTCCCTCTCTGTTATAAGCAACACACTTAATCATGGCTGAGCAGCAAACAGGCAGAGTGAATAGCATAACTGGTGAAAAGCCTATGTGATGTGCTGCTTTATATCACTAAATGGAACTTGTCTTTTCATTCCAAAAAATCCAAATTTATGTTTTGTAGAAACCAAGAAATGACATTTCAGAGGTTTTTAGGTCTACATAAGAAAACACAAGTCTGGGCACAGTGGTTCACACCTGTAATCCCAGCACTTTGGGAGGCCAAGGCAGGCGGATCACTTGAGGCCAGGAGTTCTAGACCAACCTGGCCAACATGGTAAAACCCTGTCTCTGTTAAGAATACAAAAAATTAGCTGGGTATGGTGATGGGCGCCTGTAGTCCCAGCTACTCGGGAGGCTGAGGCAGGAGAATTGCTTGAGTCCAGGAGGTGGAGGTTACAGTGAGCCGAGATTGCACCACTGCACTCCAGCCTGGGTGACAGAGCAAGACTCTATCAAAAAAAAGATCCAACCCTAAGAACTAAAAACAAGGTTTATATTATGGTCCAGTCAATACAATTGGGTACATTTCCTTCAGAATTCAAATATGTTTCTGTTCAATATATATTTGTTTTACATATATATATCTAGGGCATGACTGATGAAATATAATAAATCAAGCTGTAACCCTTCACTTATGAATCAAAGTATTAAGTGTCCTGAAGAAAGGTAAATAATCCAATTAAGTATCCTTCTTCACAGCCTCCTAAACAAACTTCCTTTTCCTTAAATGGTCACTGAAATTTAAGATAACATTTTGGATATGTCAAACCAATTTTATTGTTTCTCGAGTTCCTTGCCATTCCTTGAGGGCTCACGATGGCTTACGGTTGGGAGAAAGATGGGAAGAGGAGGATATGCAAGAAGACTGAAGACTTCCAGGGTGTGCAAAAGTGTTTTTCCTTCTTATTTTCCTATACCCAATAGCTAACACTATGGCGTCTGACTTTTCCGGGCAGCCTGCAAATGTCATTGCTAGTGATAACATTTTTCTGTAGGGAAACATATTCCAATTTTTAATCATCTTTAGAATAAACCCATTTATGCCAGGCGCTGTGGCTCACGCCTGTAATCCCAGCCCTTAGGGAGACAGAGATGGGAGGATGGCTTGAGCTCAGGAGTTTGAGACTTGCCTGGGCAATAGAGTGAGACCCTGTCTCCACAAAAGGAAAAAACAAAAAGACAGACACACACAGAGAGTAGAATAAACTCATTTATAGGCAGTATATTGGGAGGGAAAGCTTCCCAGGGAGATCAAAAAGAATGAATTTTCTTCTTTTGAATTATTTTCTTTGGATTTATTCCCTCACATGCTTTTTAGTGAGTCAAAGAATATGATTGATTTACAGGTCCTGACACGGGCTGACTGCAAGTGTGGCGGGGCCAGCACCCTCAGTTTCAAATCAACAATGACTACCCGGGGTGCCTACACCATCAGAGGTGTTTTCTTGGTTATAACACTACAAGTAACAACTAATGTCTATTGAGCTTTAGAATTTCCAAAGAACATTTCTGGCTCTGCAGCTAATCCTCAATAAATAAGCTGCTATTATTATACCTACTTTTTTTTTTTTTTTTGAGATAGATCTCGCTATCTCCCAGGCTACAGTGCAGTGGCCTGATTTTGGCTCACTGCAACCTCCGCCTCCGGATTCAAGTGATTCTCCTCCTTCAGGCTCCCAAGCAAGTAGATGGGACTGTAGGAGTGTGCCACCACACCTGGCTATTTGTTGGTCAGGCTGGTCTCAAACTCCTGGCCTCAGGTGATCTGTCTGCCTCAGCCTCCCAAAGTGCTGGGATTACAGATGTGAGCCACCGCACCCAGCCTACTGTACCTATTTTAGAGATTGGAAAAACAAGGCTTAGAGAGGTGGAGTGGCTTACACCTGTATCTAACACTTTGGCTAACACTCTTACACTTGGGCTATTTGGCTCACTCGTTTAAAGGCCTTTCCATCTCTGAATGCATTTGTGAGAGCTGTTTCCATCTTAGTGCCTGCAGCTCACTGGGGTACAAGGGAACTGGAAAAGACTGAAAGGGACTGGACAATGAGGAAGGAAGGCGGTGCCACTGATACCGTGTGCCAGGGACTCCACCTCTCCTGCCGTCGCCACCCCCTAGGCTCACTGGGACTGATGTTTCAGGTCTTCCAGAGCACCTGTATGTGTGTGACCACATCCTGATCCACCAGGACTATGCCAGAGAGAACGTCTGACTCTCACACTCTCCCTTACAGCCCAGGGACTGTCAGCAGGGAAGAAGGAGAGAATTCACCTACCTCCTGCAAGATGAACTTCTGATTCTCTGGGGTGGTTTCTTTGCAGAGATGCATGGTAAGGACATCCATTCCAGCTTCCACAGCAATGCAGCCCTCTGGCTGGTGGGTATTATAGCGTATTTCTTTCTGGGATGTGTACTCGAAAAACTAAAAATGGGGCAGCCAACATGTAACACAACATATTCCACTGACATGGCAAGAGGAAAGATCGCTGGACAAGAACCTGGGATCACAAGAGCATGGGTGGGGTCATGTACCTGCCTCACCACCAACACAAGCCTGTGTGATGGGCTCCTCTGCATCCCACAGCCCTCAGTGGACCGCTACTGCAGTGCTTCCCAAGCGTGGAGGAAACGGCCCTTTCCCATGTCTGCCCAGATTGCTATACAGTGAGACAGGGCTGGTGCATGTCACCTCCTGCCTGCAGTGCTGAATGCCGTATTGGTGTGGGCTGAGAGGAAAGGAAATGGACCCATCCCACCACTAGGTCTTGGGGGCCCTCTGTGACCTTGACTAGCTACTTCCTCTCCTTTTCCTCAGTCTCTCCCCACAAACCCCGAGTATAATGGATACAACAGTTCCTAGAAAATATAAAGTGCTGTGCATAAGCAGGCAATGTGATCACTAACAGGAAGACATGGTTCTTCCCAGGCAATGGTTTTCCTGCCCAAATATACCTAGGGACTACCTACGGTGTCTGTTAAAAATGGATTGCTGGCCCCATCCCAGAGAGCAAATAAGAGGCCTAGGAAGCTGCATTTTCTGCATCATTGACAAGACACCCACCCACCCTACCAGCCCCTTCCAAAATTCTGACACAGGTGGTTATTCTTGGGGTGGACAGAGCAGAGCTCTCAAACCATATCTCCTGAAAAGCTGCTTAAAATAAGTGTCTGGGATTCAGCAGGGTTGGGATCAGTCTGAGAATGTGCATTTCCAAGCTCCCAGATGATGCTGATGGTAGCACTCAGGTACATCGGCTTTTTAAACAGTGTGGAAAACCTAAATAACTTAAGGTTGCAGGGGTCTGAATTACAAAAGTTTACTGTTGACCATCAGGAGGTTTCATATTCAAGTAGCACTGGGGCGAATCCAGATTGGAAACAAAGTCTGAATCTCCATCCCTTTGTTTCCTGGTGTCTGATAACTCCTTAGTACAGTAAAGCTTTGGAGGCCCAGAACCAACACTTCTCTCCATTCCTACATCCTCCAAGGGCCCTGCCATCAGCTTTCCAGGGCTGGGGGTCCTGTTCTGGTCTTCAGACTCCCCCAGGACTGAGCCTCCCCTGCCCAGGCTGAAGTACAGCCCTTCACCCAGACAGACACACCTGGGCCCCCAGCTAAACACCACCTTGCAAGGTGGCCCTATGCATTAAACCTATAATTCCACTTAACAATTAATTCTAAGGAAATCATCCGAAATGCAGATCTGTTATTTTATCCTTCCGTCTGATCCAAGGTGTTAGAGGCAGGGTTATTTATAATTGCAAAGACAGGGAGGCAGGGAGCCAGTAAACTAAACAGCAATACAGGCACACAATGAAATAGCAAGAGGCCACTAGGAATGACATTCTCAAAGAATATCTAATAACATAAGAAAAGTATGATGAAGGGAATGGAAATAATGGAACATAAATCACAGACATTATGATAATATTTATAGCACATAATCCTTATGTGTTATGTGTAAAAAATGATGGGAAGAAAACACATTTTAATTTTAATGGAGTCTCTATGAGTCCAGCCATTCACACCAGGCTTCTACTTTTTATACTTCCCAAATATTACTTTTACAAGAAAAAACTCAAGTGTTTAATTTTTTTAACAAAACACACAGTTTTCTCCTCTTCTGAGGCTCATACCTACCTGATTCTGGCCCATCCCATGACAGAGGTACAGAATGACCTGGTGTCCCACAATCTGGTTTTCATCGGGAGGGTTATAGTCAAAGCAGTAATCTTTTAGTCCTTTGTTCTGGAGCTAAATAAAACATAAAGTTGGGATTTCAGTCCAGATTTATACACACTAGCAGAGGCCATGCTAGGTTTGGGAAGGGTATCCGGCATGAGAGGAGAGCCTGCTTCAACAGCTAGACACAAAGGTAGCAGTCTTTCCTGTGCAGCACCTTCTAGCTTTAAAAGTGCTTCCTTGTTCTGTAGGCAAGAATCTTTATCCCTATTTTAAGTTGATAAGCCTGAGGACCAGAGAGATGAACCCTTCATAACCTGAAAGCTCTTCTCTCTTCCTTTCTCATTAGTGGCAGCCTTACTGCTACACAAGTCCCAATATACCTGGGTTGGTACCTCGAACTACATTAATTAAGCTAGCTAAATCAAGCAGGTGATAGACACAGAGAAAGAATTATTTTAGGCTGGGTTCGGTGGCTCACGCCTGTGATCTCAGCATTTTGGGAGGCAGAGGCAGGTGGAACGCTTGAGGCAAGAAGCTCTAGACCAGCCTGGCCAACATGGCAAAACCCCATCTCTACTAAAAATACAAAAACTATCCAGGTGTGGTGGCTCGCGCCTATAGACCCAGCTACTTGGGAGGCTGAGGCGGGAGAATCATTTGAACCAGAGGGCAGAGGTTGCAGTGACCAAGATTGCGCCACTGCACTCCAGCCTGAGTGACAAGGTGAGACTCTGTCTCAAAAAAAAAAAAGAATTACTTTAAATCACTTTAGAGCATAGTATGTTTAACAATACTACCTATGAAACATATTATAGAAACAAATTGAGCAGCAAAGAAATTGTAAACCTCATTTAATATAACACTGCCAGCTGTAATACTGTATTAACTATCTTGAAACTATTTTAAATATATTTTAAGTTAATATTGTTTAAAACCAAGATTTTCAGGGTAAGAAAAAAGAAATACAAGTATGATAGCAAAGAAAATTTTATAAGACAACATTGGAATTTTAGATATTAATATAAGTTTATGATCTGTTTCTCAAAAATATGAATTTCCCTTCTCTGCCCACTGAAAAATATAGAGCTGTGCTAGTCCATGTGGCAGCCACTGGCCACTGTGGCCACTGGCCACTTGAAATTTGACTAATCCAAATTGAGATATGCTCTAAGTATAAACTTCACCAGATTTCAAGGCTTAGTATGAAAAAAGAATGTAAAATACCTCAATGAATATATATTTATATTAACATATTTTATATAGGATATAAAAATTTATATCATGTGGATATTATTGGGATATGCTGAGTTAAATATTTTATTTACTTTACTTGTTTCTTTTCTTAATATGGTTACTAAAAATTTTTAAATTACAACTGTGGCTCTCATGATAGTTTTTTTAAACTGCATGATCTGATGCAATGACAACACATAGCAACGGGCACCACCAACATCCAGACTGGCTCCCAACACAATTCCCCAACAAAGGAGCAGGGCCTCTGGGAGGAATGGCAGGAAGTGTCGAAGACTTGAATGGGACAACTTAGCCAGAATCGAGGAGGCTATCAAAGCCATTTATACAAGGGGTCAAAGACCACAGAAGCCAAAATAAAGGGTCTGCCACTGGCCAAAAACAATTTTAATATGTTTTTTAAAAAGATTAATTGGGCAGTGGCTCAACGCCTATAATCCCAGCACTTAGGGAGGCCTTGGCAGGAGAAATGCTTAAGCTCGGGAGTTCGAGACCAGCCTGGGCAATAAAGTAAGACCTCGTCTCTACTAAAAATGAAAATAGAAAATTAGCCAGGGAGGTGGCTGGTAAGACGGCCAAATGGGAACAGCTCTGGTCTGCAGCTCCCAGTGAGATCAATGAAGAAGGCAGGTGATTTCTGTATTTCCAACTGAGGCACCTGGTTCATCTCTTTGGGACTGGTTAGACAGTGGGTGCAGCCCATGAAGGGCAAACTGAAGCAAGCTGGGGCGTCACCTCACCCAGGAAGCATGAGGGGTCGGGAAACTCCCTGCCCAGCCAAGGGAAGCCATGAGGGACTGTGCCGTGAGGGAGCACTCTGTCCCAGATACTACACTTTTCCCATGGACTTTGAACCTATAGACCAGGAGGTTCCCTCGGGTGCCTACACCACCAGGGCTCTGGGTTTCGAGCACAAAACTGGGCAGCCATTTAGACACTAAGCTAGTTGCAAGAATGTTTTTTCATACCCCAGTGGTGTCTGGGATGCCAGCAAGACAGAACCATTCACTCCACTGGAAAGGGGGCTGAAGTCAGGGAACCAAGTGGTTGAGCTCAGTGGATCCCACCCCCATGGAGCCCAGCAAGCTAAGATTGGCTGGCTTGAAATTCTCACTGCCAGCACAGCAGTCTGAAGTCAACTTGGGACTCTCAAGCTTCGTGGGGGGAGGGGTGTTTGCCATTACTGAGACTTGAGTAGGTGGTTTTCCCCCACAGTGTAAACAAAGCGGCTGGGAAGTTCAAACTGGCAGAGCCCACCCAACTCAGCAAAGCCGCTGTAGCCAGACTGCCTCTCTAGATTCTTCCTCTCTGCGTGGGGCATCTCTGAAAGAAAGGCAGCAGCTCTAGTCAGGGGCTTCGAGATAAAACTCCCATCTCCCTGAAACGGAGCACCTGGAGGAAGGAGTGGCTGTGAACACAGCTTCAGCAGACTTAAATGATCCTGCCTACCAGCTCTGAAGAGAGCAGCAGATCTCCCAGCATAGCACTCAAGCTCTGCTAAGGGACAGACTGCCTCCTCAAGTGGGTCCCTGATCCCCATGCCTCCCAACTGCTGATACCTCCCAGCAGGGGTCAAGAGACACCTCATACAGGAGAGCTCCGGCTGGCATCTGGTGGGTGCCACTCTGGGATGAAGCTTCCAGAGGAAGGAACAGGTAGCAATCTTTGCTGTTCTACAGCCTCTACTGGTGATACTCAGGCAAACAGGGTCTGCAGTGGATCTCCAGCAGACCTACAGCAGAGGGGCCTGACTGTTAGAAGGAAAACTAACAAACAGAAATGAATAGCAACAACATCAACAAAAAGTACATCCACACAGAAACCCCATCCGAAGGTCACCAACATTAAAGATCAAAGGGAGATAAATTCAAGAAGAAGGGGAAAAACCAGCACAAAAAGGCTGAAAATTCAAAAAACCAGACCATCTCTTCTCCTCCAAAGAATCACAACTCCTTGCCAGCAAGAGAACAAAACTGGATGGAGAATGAGTTTGACAAATTGACAGAAGTAGGCTGCAGAAGGTGGGTAATAACAAACTCCTTGAAGCTAAAGAAGCATATTCTAACCCAATGCAAGAAAGCTAAGAACCTTGAAAAAAGGTTAGAGGAATTGCTAACTAGAATAAACAGTTTAGAGAAGAACATAAATGACCTGATGGAGTTGAAAAATACAGCATGAGAACTTCATGAAGCATACACAGGTATCAACAGCCAAATTGGTCAAGCGAAATAAAGGATATCAGAGATTGAAGATCAACTTAATGAAATAAAGCATGAGAACAAGATTAGAGAAAAAAAACGAAAAGGAACAAACAATGCCTCCAAGAAATATGGGACTATGTGAAAAGACCAAACCTACGCTTGATTAGTATACCTGAAAGTGACAGAGAGAATGTAACCAAGTTGGAAAACACCCTTCAGGATACTATCCAGGAGAACTTCCCCCAGCCTAGCAAGAGTGGTCAACATTGAAATTCAGGAAATACAGGGAACACAACAAAGATGCTCCTCAAGAAAAGCAACCCCAAGACACATAATCATCGGATTTACCAAGGTTGAAATGAAAGAAAAATGTTAAGGTTAGCCAGAGACAAAGGTTGGATTACCCACAAAGGGGAGCCCATCAGACAAACAGCAGATCTCTCTGCAGAAACTCTACAAACCAGAAGAGATTGGGGCCCAATATTCAACATTCTTAAAGAAAAAAATTTTCAACCCAGAGTTTCATATCCAGCCAAACTAAGTTTCATAAGTGAAGGAGAAAAAAAATCCTTTATAGACAGGCAAATGCTGAAAGATTTTGTCACCACTCCACCAGGCCTGCCTTACAAGAACTCCTGAAGGAAGCACTAAACATAAAAAAGAAAAACTGGTACCAAATTGTAAAGACCATCAACACTATGAAGAAACTGTAACAACTAATGAGCAAAATAACCAGCTAGCATCATAATGATAGGATCAAATCCATACATAACAATATTAATCTTAAATGTAAACATGCTAAATGCCCAATTAAAAGACACAGACTGGCAAATTGGATAGAGTCAAGACCCATTGGTGTGCTGTATTCAGAAGACCCATCTCACATGCAAAGACACACATAAGCTCAAAATAAAGGGATGGAGGAATACTTGCCAAGCAAATGGAGAGCAAAAAAAAAAAGCAGGGTTGCAATCCTAGTATCTGATAAAACAGAATTTAAACCAACAAAGATCAAAAAAGACAAAGAAGGGCATTACATAATGGTAAAAGGATCAATGCAACAAGAAGAGCTAACTATCCTAAATATATATGCACCCAATACAGGAGCACCCACAATCTATCCATCTGACAAAGGGCTAATATCCAGAATCTACAAAGAACTTAAACAAATTTACAAGAAAAAAATCCCATCAAAAAGCTGGCAAAGGATATGAACAGACATTTTTCAAAAGAAGACATTTATGCAGCTAACAAACATATTTTAAAAAGCTCATCATCACTGGTCATTAGAGAAATGCAAATCAAAACCACAATGAGATACCATCTCACGCCAGTTAGAATGGCGATCATTAAATGTGGTGTGTTTAAGTTGTGCCTCTCTCCATATTTCTTGAAGATGGAAGTGAGCTCTAAAGGTTTGATTAGAGTCAGGATCCACCTTTTTGCAAGAACACTTTGTGGTGATGTTTTGTGTTCACGTTGTCATATCAGGAGCACAGGAATTATGGACATCTCGTGTTTAGTGATAAGGTTGACCAGTGGGTTCACGGAGCATCCCTCACCTGGACTGGTCATTGTAAGCCCCCCGCTCAGCCTCTGTCTCATGTTTTTAGTAGCCACTGATGACCATTGCCTAGGCCCATTATTTCAAATGGAGTTGCCACATGGTGATTTTTCTCTTTCATTTCTTCCACACTTATTAGCTGAAATTTTTCTGTGAAGAACACTCCCTCATTAAATTTTTCTGTAAAGAAGAACACTCTTTAAGAAAAAGACACGACCAATTCTTAAGTCTTTTTCTTTATGTGCTTATTTTCAGAGTAAGAGTTGGTATTTTAGTTTCCTCCAGTTGTATCTAGTGGCTTTTTTGTTTGTTTGTTGGCTCATTGTTTTTTTGGCTTTTTCTCTTCTTGAGTGCCATTCAGTCTAACTAATGGGTGTTTAAATGGCCAATGTATTTCAATCAATTCATCTTTTTTTTTGAGACAGGCTTCTAGTCACTCAGGCTGGGGCACAGTGGCACTATCATAGCTCACTGTAGCCTGAATCACTGGGCTCAAGTGATCCTCCCACCTCAGCCTCCCTAGTAGTTTGCACTTCCTAGCAAAAGCGAAAGACACCGCACATTTTATCTGGTCTCATCCTAAAAGCATTTCTTTTAGGGATGTTTCTGAATTAGTAATTGCAATAGTGAGACACTCCACAGGTAACTGATCTTGTTTTTTCACCAAGTTAAAGATTAACAAAAAAAGGAAGAGGACTGTCTTAGATTAAAAGAGATTTACGAGACAAGACACCACCACCACATGCAATGTGTGGACCTTGTTTGGGTCCGAATTTGAATTAGCCAGCCACTCAAAGAGAACCTCGAAAAGTTGGGGGAATAGGAATCAGAACTAGACATTAAATGATAACAAGAAATTACTGGTCATTTTTACAGTTTTGTAAGATGATGTCCAAATGTTATGTAAATGCAAACTAACATGAAGGGTGAGAAAGGACACACTGCCTGGGATTTGCTTACAAAGAGGAACATGGGGAGGTGAAGCAGAGGAGAGAGAAAGCAAGAGAGGCAGGATCACAAAAATTCCAGAATCTCAGGGACGCTATTTACTACATCATTCTCTCTGCATTTCTATATGTCTGAATATTTTTACAATGAAAATAGAATGTAACATGAACATCCTGCTTTGCATTTATCAATGACTTCCAGAATGGGACACCAGCACTTCTGATCAACACATCACAGCAGAGGGGACCTCCCTAAGCTGGTATACTTCCTAGCAAAAGCAAAAGACACTGCACATTTTATCTGGTCTCATCCTAAAAGCATTTCTTTTAGGGATGTTTCTGAAATACTAGAATTGACTCCCCTATACCCACTATTGCCTCTGTATACTCCCAAACTTGGAATTACTAACTAGTCCAGCCATTGAGACTAGAAGTAATGTGATAAGGTGTTGGTTAAAAACTAGGACATGGAAACACCAGATAAGCCTGTATCCTTATCTACAAAATGGGAGGCATATAGTTGTCAACTTTGAGATAGCTTCCAGCTCTGACATTCTGCACCAAAGGCCCAGAAACTCACAGGGAGAAAGAGCCATGGATAAAAAGGTGGTGGGGGGAAAGGGGGACTGGCAGGTGGGTGGGAGTGGAGGAAGCCAGTGATCCCCATGAAGTAGCCTTTCTTGCCCAGAATTTGTAGATCAGACCCAGAGGCCAGGGAACTCCCTGCCTGCCGTGGGCCCACCACCCTCACTCACCATCCCAAAGAAGCCAGGCCTGTCTTCAGGCACATGCAGTTCTGGATACACAGTCTCCAAGAACCACTTGAAGTCCTTACACTGGAGCTTGGCCCGGAGCTGCTTCCTCTCTGTCACGTCCCCAAAAGGTTCCTGAGAAAACAACAAAACAGTGAGATCCCACAGGTCCTAGTGCTTCCTATCAAAGTTACCAACACTCACACACTGACTACCAGCCAGCTTTGACAGGCTCTGTGCAGAGCCTGTAAACACAACAGAAATGTAAAGATGATAGTCCATGTAAATATGATAGAAAATAACCTCACGCCTAATTCCAGCTTCTAGTATGAGAGGCTGTCAAACAGACAATTCCATTCCCAAGTGCTCTGTTGGCGGGAGGCGTGACCAGATGGGGGAGGGTAGAGGACAACCCACCTGCTGATGGAGTGAAGGAGCCAAGCCCTGGGCTGCACTGACATCTATGGATCATGGACCTGTGACCCATGCCTGTGATCAGAGGTCATCCTGACACCCAACCAGGGAAGCGTCAGTTTCACTGTGACATATGCCATGATTTTCTGATTTACTACTAACATCTGAATATCCACTTTCAAAGACAGGTAAATATTCTAGATGTAATTATGTTCTCAACATATTGAAGTATCAGTATTTACTTATGACAATAAAAGCAAAATGGTGCAATAAGAAATATTTGTGGAAGTTTGGTTTTATGGACAAAACAATGACTGAGAACTTTCAAATAATAAAGCAAGCCTCTATTTAGCATGGCAAATGTGCAGCTGCGAGAAAAATGCTGAGTGCAGAGATGTTACCATACCTGCACTGTCATGTTAAACAATTAAAAACTGACAAGTTAAATATTGAACACAATGGTAACAATAAGTAAATGTTTGAATAAGATTTCGGATTTCTGCTGTTTCCCAGAAGTTCTTTCACTGATGAGAGTCACTGTGTCCCCAGCTTCAACCAAGTATCCATGCAACACTTGGGCATGCAGCCTAAGGGTGCATTCAGGGCCTCCCTAACATTCTCTGGGAACTCTCAGGAAAAGGAAACTATGGGTTTCAAACTGTGCATCAGGAAAAAGCAACTGTTTCTACTCCACGGTACTGGGCAAGACAGAGGAAGCAGAGGCAAATGACCACGGAGCCCAGAGCCAGACATGAGCTGAGTAGGAGTTCAGTTGAGGGCCAGACCTCGGGCTCTGCAGAGAAGAATAAGAGGTGCACTGCAGAGCACAGGCCCCAGGCCCAGCTCCACTGCCTATCAGCTTTGGGGCCTGAAGCCCAGGGTCTGGGAGAGAAGAGGCAGATCCTTGATCCACAGTGGTCTCTGAGGTGGAGGCAGTACAAGGATCTGGGGCGGACAACAAGTCCCTGAGATAAATCACTTTGAGGAAGAACACAGTCTGGGCTGGGCTGAGCCTCAGCCTCCAACAGGCTCAGTGCAGTGGGTGGTTGGGCCAGTGTTACTATAGTGTGTGGCTGGGACCCGGGGGAGCAAGCCAACAGAGCTGAAACTTCAGCCACTGCAGGCACACCTTCACCATCGTTCAGAGAGATGGGGCCAGCAAGGCTTCTGAGAGGGGAGGAAGAAAGGCATCTGTTAGGCTGGCAGGGGGGGTTTTCCATGGCCATGACATATGGTGAGAAAGAGTAGCAGCAGGGGCCTGGGCCACTCTCCGGTAGTCCTTCCATCTGGAAATGGAAGCAGAACAGATTCCATGTTTTAAAAAAGTAAGCTTCCAGGGTGCTAAGAAGAAGCCTCTAGAGGGAGGTAACAGACCCCTAGCTTATAAGGAGGGTATGTCCCTGAGCAGCAGCTTTAAGGTAAAGAACTGTGCCTTAATTTGCACCCTGGGTTTGTGGACTCAACACTACTGGCTACAAAGAGGTAAGACACCATACATGGACAATGCCTGGCATGTGACACCAGGTATCCTCAACTGTCTACATTGGTTCAGTCCATCCTCATTATTTACTGCTTCTGTATCTTTGAATTTCCCTACCTGCTATAATTAAATTTATTTGTAACCCCCAAATCAACACTGGTGGTATTTTCTAATTTTCACACACATTTGTGGACAAAAAATTTTGAGTTGCCTGACACTCACATTCCCAGGTGATGCAGAACAAGGTGACAGACTGCCTTCTTGTTTTAGCTCTCATCCTGTAAACCAATGTCCTTGTCACCATCTATTGGGCACCACACTTTTTTCTGCTTTGTAATGGTGACTTCACTGGCCATTCTAGAATGTCCCCCAGTTGTAGTGCTGAAGTGTTCCTACATGCAAGAAGGTTGCGATGAAGAGAAAATAGCACGTGCTAGGGAAGCTTCATTCAGGCATGCGTCATCGTGCTATTAGCCATGACTGTGATGTTAATGATATATGCTAAATAGGCGCCTTTGAACAGAAACACTGAAAACAAGTTCAGTGTTGACCTGCTGACAAAACTGTTGTGGCCCAAGTCTGGCAGGAACCTAACCTTGCATTACCCCTAAGAGCAATGGCTCCGTTTTCACGAAGTCAGTGTTTGTGGTGGCTTTACAGAACATAACAGCTGCAAATAACAAGATTTGACTGCATTAACTATTACAAATGGAGGAATAAAGTGTCCCCATACTAGTATGTGAGTACTCTATTTCTCAATTTCTGGAACCAGACAGACTCTGTTGGGGAAGCTACGATTAGCTGCTGTTGTTCAGATGGAGCCAGATATTGTGCAGGTGGGCCGAGGAACTCACCAAGCGGGCACGGGGGTTGCGATGGTAGTAGAGCTCTTTAAATTCATCCATCCACACTTCAGCTGCACGAACACTGTTAGCCAGAGCCTTGTTGCGGGAGTAGGGAGCTTGCTTGGGGAAAACATGGCCAACGTGGGAACACGGGTGTGTTTCCAGAGTCCCACCACACTGCCAGATCTGCACACAGAGAAAAGGAGAGGCCAGGTGATGAGCAGGGGATGAGCTGCGGGTCCGTAGCATCTGCAGCAAGGAGGTCAGGCACACACAATGCATGATGGATGCTGCCAAGATGCTCAGCCTCCATCGGGCAGGAGGCCACCTACCCAACACATTCATGACAAAGAATGTGGGCAAACAGCAAGAAAGCAGCCCCCAAAACAAATAAGCTATGGGAGCCAAGACCCCAAAGTTCATGCACTAAAGCTCATGCACTTGACTCACAGGAGCATCCACAGAGACCTCGCTGGCAACCCGCTTACTCATTACAGAAAACACAGGCTTGATTACCTGATCTCCTAGCCACAGAAGATAGGAAAGCAGCAAGGAAGAAGAGAGGTTTGGAAGGGGGAAAGGAAGAGCTTCTAGAAACAGTAGAGCAGCCTGACACCTAGGGAAGAGGCAGAGAGACTATTAAAAGCACACGCAAAGACTCAACAGGTCAAGGCATCGGGGCCCATCTCACACTGGGACTGATGGCCTTGAATATCTCATTTTCCCAAACATGGGACAACCAAGCACAGCATCTGGCACTTATTATTGAGGGCGTGAGTCCTCGGTAGAAGGCCAAATTCTTTTTATTCACAGTTTTCATGAGGGCGGGATACCATATAAAATATCATGAAAGATCTTAATTTTCCACTGAAAAGCACGAACATTTACACAAAGTTTTGAAGCTTTAAAATGGAAGACTTCATTAACTGGAAAGGAACTGAAATGCTAGGAGTTCTCCAATGGTTTCCAAGGGCCATGTATAGTAGCACTGGTAGGTAGGCCTTTTATAAAAAGCAGAATTTTGGTCCCACCCTAAAGCTATCAAATCTGACTTTCTAGATTGTGCTTGTCAATCTGCCTTTCTAACAAGTTTCCCCAGCAATTCTTACATGTGCTGACTGGGTGAAGTGGCTCATGCCTATAATCCTGGCACTTCAGAAGGCCAAGGCAGGTGGATCACCTGAGGTCAGGAGTCCGAGACCAGCCTGGCCAACATGGTGAAACCCTGTCTTTACTGAAAATACAAAAATTAGCCAGGTGTGGTGGTGTGTGCCTGTAATCTCACTACTCAGGAGGCCGAAGCAGGAGAATTGCTTGAACCTGGAAGGTGGAGGTTGTAGTGAGCCGAGATCGTGCCACCAAGTTCCAACCTCAATAACAAAGCAAGACTCTGTTTCCAAAAAAAATAAAAAAATTCTTACATGTGTCAAAGTGTGAAAGCCACTGTGCTAAATAAAGAGGAATTAATGAAATAAAGGCTCCAGAAGACAGGATCAGAAGGAACCTAACCCTGAGCACATCACCTCTCTCCTGGTCTCATTTCCTCCTCTCCATACAGTGAGAGAGAACTACTTGCAAGGCCCTTTCTGGCCTCAAATCTAGCAAAAGCACACATTTTAAAAAGCTGAAAAAAGAAGGAAAGCATGTTTATAGGATATGTGTGTCATCATCTTTCAGAATCAGATAAACTCGCAATAGGGAGAAAAGTCCACCAGGGTGGGTCTCACAGCAAATATCATGATTCCCAAAGAGAGAATAAGTTAAGAACATGTCCAAAGAGAAGACTAGAATACTTACCCTAAAGGAGAATTCGAGGTTTTCTCCTCCCCAAACTTCCATTCCTGTATCGTAAGACCCCAGATATTCAAAATATTTCTTACTCACAGCAAACAGCCCACCAGCCATTGTTGGAGACCTAGAAGAATGTGATATCCATCTTTCACTGTAGGCAGCAGAAAACCATCACAGTTATCCAACTACCTTCCCACCACGAGCTCCTTCATTTGTTCATCCATCATCTCTAAGCACACCCTGGCTTTACCTCTGTGCCCCACACTAGGCTGGCACAGATGTACCATACGGTCCCTGCCTTGAGGTGGCTCCCAGGCTTCTCAGCAGACAAGTACTGTGTCTACTAAATAGACCTTAACTAAGGTCAGCCAGGTCCCTGGGGAAATACTGAGGAGGGCAGGGGCAAGAGGGTAGGACCAGGTTTCCTGGAGGAGGCAAGGTCTGCAGGACAAAGGACAGTTAGCCAAGAAGAAGAATGGAAATGGAATGGTTCTCTAGCTTAAGGGTGGGAGAAACCCAGGGGCATTTAGAAGCACAGAGAGCAAGAAGAGAGAATCAAGAGATCAAAGCTTGGAGAGGAAGGCAGGCTGCAGGCCATGGTCATGTGGGGAGGGGTGATCTAGGAAGGTAGGCACTCACAAAGGCCACTGGGAGACCAGTACGCAGAAGACCCTAAAGGCAACTCTGGCATCTGAAAGTGCCCCAAGGGCCAGGTCCTCTCCTGTTGGAGCAGTTTCCCACCAAGACCCAGCCCGCCAGCCTCAGGCTGCTCCTTCCGCTGGCTTGTTTCCCCCCACCCCCACCAAGTTTATCTGGAAACCAGCACTGACTTCAGAAACGGTCCATGGCTTCCAGCCTACACAGCAGAACACTGTAAGGTCAGCATGTCCCACCCAGAGTTGCACAGGCAAAAGGATGAATTCAGAAATAGGAAAAGGGCTGGGAGCGGTGACTCCTGCTTGCAATCCCAGCACTTGGGAGGCTGAGGCGGGCGGATCTCCTGAGGTCAGGAGTTGGAGACCAGCCTGGACAGTATGGTGAAACCCTAAACAACTACTAAAAAAAATATTAAAAATTCTTTTTATATTTTTATAAAAGACCAGGTATGGTGGCGGGCACCTGTAATCCCAGCTACTTAGGAGGCTGAGGCAGGAGAATCACTTGAATCCAGGAGGCGGAGGTTGCAGTGAGCAGAAATCAGGCCACTATATTCCAGACTGCACAACAGAGCTAGACTCCAACTCAAAATAATAATAATAGGGAAAGAGAATTTTGAGAGCATAACCGTTGCTATGTTGCTCAGGCTGGTCTCAAACTCCTGGACCCAAGCAATCCTCCCACCTTGGCTTCCCAAAGTACGGGGATTATAGGCATGAGCCACTGTGCTCAGCCTAAAATTGCATACTTTAAAATGGTTAAAATGGTCAATATGATGCATATTTTACCACAATTTAAAAATTAAATAAAATATACTGATATAAAATATACCAATATAAAATTAAAATATGCCGATATAAAAGTGATGTGTGTAGCAGACATGCTTATAAAAATAAATATTCTGGGCAAAAAAGTGGGAAGAGGGGAGGTAGTTAAGCTGACAGCTGACCATGCCCCCCAGGGCCTCCACTGTCAGGTCAGCCAGATGCCACAAGGCATGCTTGAAAAAACAAGTCACCCAGAAGACAGCTCCTGACCTGATGACATCAACAGGGGACCGCATCTGTATCCTCTCCCTCTCAGGAACTGTGTGCCATGTGAACACCAGCCTCCAGTTGAAACCGCCGATCTGGGGCTCCCCAGAGTTCCCCAGGTATTCAAAGGTGTTCCAGTCAATCACATCAATCACGGGGCACACCACTGCCGACTCCTCTTCATGGATCCTGAAAGCACCCAAGACATCCATCCGTCCCTCCTATGCAGACGGCAGCAGGAAGATAATTGGGAAATTCAAGGGTGAATTCTTGTCTTCCTTCCCGTAAGAGGGAAGAACTCCGGAGAAAGGCCTGCTTCTCTCATTCCAGGTGTCTGTAGCTGTGTCAGAGTCCTGGCAAGTGACCGCCATCAGGGGATGCTGGGGGCCAGGGAGGGCTTTACAACAAAAAAAGTCCCATGACTTTAATATGCTCTGATTCTATCTACGGACATTCTGACCAAACACTCTGATTTCAATTTCTCAGAAGTGCAAGAGGTTTAATCACAAGGAAACATCCTAACATCAAGAAATACTTACCTCCCTAAGAATAGGTGCACCCAGACCAAAGGGTCAGCCTTGGAATTAGAATATAAATTCGAATCCTGCTCTTTATTTGCTGTGTGACATTAGCCAAGTCACCTAACCTTGGAGCCTATTGCCTCAGTGGTAACACAGGAAAAATAATAACCATTTAGAGGGTTAATGTGAGGATTTCCTGGGAAAATGTAAGTTGGCTGGCAGAGAACCTGAAACAACTGCTATTTTTTTCTTTTAATTTGTATTTCTGTTGAAATATTACACATAGTGAAAAATGCTCCTTTTGCAGGTACCAGCCTGTGTGTTGGTTTCAACTGTTCCCTCCACAACATTTTTATACTTACTATTTACCCAGAAAAATTAAAAATTAAAAAAATCCATTTTAAAATTCCCCAGGTATATATCTAACGGACAACCGAGGTGGAAAAATCCCCTCATCTACAGGCATGCAGCAGGAAGAGGGCAGGCCTGTGTCTAAAGGGTGGAATGAAGAGTAATTCTAGAAGCATTAATTCATCAGCTGAAGAGAAAGAAATGTCCTCTCCCTGTGACTTCAGATCAGCATAGAGGTGGCCATCTATGAGTGCAGTGGGGGAACAGAGGAGGGGGAGCACTCGACCATCACTGTGTTCTAAATAGTCTCCATCTCCATCACAGGCTGGAGGAGCCACAAGTCTGCTGCTGGGGAAGCTCATCAGAGCTGAGGAGGAGAAAGAGATGGCTATAGGACCCACAGCTGACAAGGAACCAGGACAGCAGGAAGTGGCAGGGCAGCGGGCAGCTGGGTCACACCCAGGAAGGAAGGCAAGTGGGTCCCCAGCTCTTCCAGACAACTCTAACAACCACAGTGTTGAGGTCTATGGGAAAGCAGTTTGCCATCTGCAGAGACCCTGTGCCTCTAGCCCTTTGCCTGCTCCACAGAAGGGAGGCTAAGCCAACATCCCCTCCTTCCTCTCCCACCTGGGAGCTCCTGGTTGGCCAGCCTAGTGCCTGACTTCCATGATGCAGAAACAGAAAGGGCAGAGAGATAAGGCAGAGCATGGGCAGGAAAGAGACAGAAGGGAACAAAAATCAGGCCCCAGCAGATGGTGGCTTCTTGAGGGGGGCAGGTGGGAGGGTGGCCTTGAGAACAGCGCCCAAGGACCAGCTGAGCCCAGGCAATCTGATAACTCTCAAGCAACGTGATGAGTCTGTCCCTCATGCTACCTACATCAGGAAATGTGCTGTCTCTCCCCTGACGGGTGGCTCACGTACCTTTGCAGCAGCGGCTCCAGCCACCCCTCGTGGCACTCACAGTGACAGTCCAGGAAGGTCAGAACATCGCCCCTCGCCACAGATGCCCCAAGCAGCCGGGCTCGCACCAGGCCCTCTCTCTTGCTGGCACGGATCAGGCGCACTTTGGGCAGGCCCGAAAGCTCATTCGCCAAGCGCTCCTTCAGGTGCTCTAGGGAGGTAAACAAAGCAACAGGGGTCACCATAACACTCTTTTTTTTTTTTTGAGACAGAGTCTCCCTCTGTCACCAGACTGGTATGCAGTGGAGCAATCTCAGCTCACTGCAACCTCCCGGGTTCAAGTGATTCTCCTGCCTCAGCCTCCTGAATAGCTAGGACTAAAGGCACGTATCACCATTCCTGGCTAATTTTTTATTTTTAGTAAAGACAGGATTTCACCATGTTGGCCAGGATGGTCTCAATCTCTTGATCTTGTGATCCACCTGCCTCGGACTCCAAAAGTGCTAGGATTACAGGCATCAGCCACTGCGCCCAGCCACCATGACACTCTTGAAGGAGTGTTTCATCCCAAGCCAGGGCCTTCTGGGCCTCCCTGTCCCAAACAGAAGATGAAATAGACAGAAGCCTCCTTTGCTCTGCCACCTGGGACATCCTTATCTCCCCTAGAACCAAGGTTGGAAGTGCTCTGAAGGCCAGGAGGAGGCTGGGGGAGGAATTCCAGAACCACTATTTGCTCCTCATCAAAACAAATGCATGTGGAATCATACACTTCAAATAGGTGAACTGAATGGTATCTGAATATATTTCAATAAAGCTGTTACAAAAAATGCTTTATAGTTTTGACTCGTCAGCATTTAAAAATCCAAAAACACATGAATCATCTAACCACGATTTTCGTAAAAACAGTAATTATGGCTGGGCACGGTGGCTCATGCCTCCCAGCACTTTGGGAGGCCAAGGCAGGTGGATCTTAAGGTCAAGCGATCGAGACCATCCTGACCAACATGGTAAAACCCCATCTCTACTAAAAATACAAAAATTAGCTGGGCATGGTGGCATGTGCCTGTAGTCTCAGCTTACTCAGGAGGCTAAGGAAGGAGAATTGCTTGAACCAGGGAGGCGGAGGTTGCAGTGAGCCAAGATAATGCCACTGTACTCCAGCCTGATGACAGAGTGAGGCTCCATCCCAAATTAAAAAAAGTAGTAATTATGCTAATAGAAATTTTCTCAGGAGTACTTTACAGTTTATACAGTAGTAGTAACAATAGTAATAGCCAAAACTAAAGAAGACCTGCTATACCAAATACTACTTAGGTGATTTCCAGATAGCGCAGCTGATCCTCATAACAATCCTCTGAGGCAGGTACTAGTCTTATCCCATTTCACAGATGAGGGCATTGAGGCCAAGAGGGGAATCCAGCTCCAAATTCTACAAGCTAACACTGCTGCCCAGAGCAGCCACCAGAGTGAAAGCCTGTCTATAAATAAATCAATAAATAAAAGCATTCATTGGTTGATTTTTTTTTTTTTTTTTGAGACAGGGTCTCACTCTGTCACCCAGGCTAGAGTGGCAGTGGCGCAATCACGGCTCACTGCAGCCTCAACCTCTTGGGCTCAAGCGATCCTCCCACCTTGGCCTCCCAAGTAGCTGAGACTACAAATATGCACACCACACCTAGTTACTTTTAAAATTTTTTGTAGAGATAGGGTCTTCCTATGTTGCCCAGGCTGGTCTCAAATTCCTGGGCTCAAGCAATCCTCCCACCTTGGCCTCCCAAAGTGCTGGGATTACAGGCATGAGCCACCATGCTCAGCCAATTTTTTTTTTTTTTAATCCAAATTATAACTGCAAATGAGTTGATGGCAGGAATAAGGGAAGTAACTCTGCAAGCAAAGCTAATTAGCTAGAGTACCCAGTGACCCCATGAGTGCATGTGTGGCTGGCTTGCATTCATGATGGATCTCATCAGCGTTAATTTTATGTCTGCCTGAACTGTCTCTCTGCATCTGGGAGGGCCTGACACCCTTTCATCAAGCTCACACTGACACTGCAGAAATGGTGGGGAGGGGAGGCCGGGCAGGACTTCCTAACTCATTGCAGGTTAAAGCGGGACATCGCACCTGTTTTCCCAAGTTCCCACAATGGCAGGAAGCGAAGCTTGGTCCACACTGCCTCACATTTTTATGAAAGAATTGAGATGTGTCAGAGGAATTCATATGGTATTCCTGCCTGCTGAGGAGCTATTTAATCTCATAATGATAAAATAAATAGTCTGCTCTTTGCCTTTAGATTAATATATCTGTGAAATGCTGTTTTTTTCATGTTGCAACTTTTTAAACATTATAAAAATAGAAGTTATCATCTAACAAGAGCTCATAAATGCCAAGCGCCTACCCAGCACATTACCCTCCTCAACTCATTCAACACTCAGGATGATGCTACAAGGTAGAAGCTATTATTACTCCCATTTTACAGAGGCTGAAGCCAAGGCTGAAATCGGTTGAGGTCACTGCTCAAAGCTGTACAGTCGCTAGGTGTTGGAGGGGGATTCAGGCTCATGCAGTGTGGTCCAGAACCAGTGTCTACACAGAGAGATTTAAAACAACTCTGGGAGAAAAGGGAAAAAGGAAATGTAAATGAGCACCGACTATGTGCCAGCTGCTACACGAGGTTCTGTCCTATACATGATTTATTCCTCACTCTAATTCTCTTGAGGTAGGTGCAGACAGACCCCTTCACAGGTGAGAAACTGAGGCCCAGATAAGACAAACAAGGTGCCGCGACTGCATCATGGGAAAGCTCGCCTCGGCCCCAGGAGCCCTGACTCCAGAACCCAGCGCCTACTAGGCTATGGTCAGCACCAAACCCCAGCCTGTCACAGACACCGTCACAGACTCTGCTGCTTGTGCCCTAAACCCATTCTCCCTGTGACCTGTAACTGGGCACACAGCCAGCAGGATAAAGGCCATAGCTCCTGGCCTCCCTTGCAGCTACGTGTGGCCAGGCAACCATGCTCTGCTCAACAGAATGTGCAGAGAACTTCCAAGCAGTGCCCTCAAGAGAAAGTGTGTGGCTCTCCTTCCCCTTTTGCCTTCTGGTTGACGAGAGTGAGTAGGAGGTAAAAAACCAGCCCAGTCCATGAGGACAAAGGCAGCAGAGCACCCTAAAGAAGGTGGGAACAGGCACAGAAGGAGCTGAGGCCCCATCCACCAAGAAGCCACCACACCCATCCTACACTAGCAAACCAGATCCATGATGTGAGAAGTCTATTTCTATCTTCTGTGAATCACTATTGAGTCTGTGAAAAAATGTACATACCTATTAGAACACACAGAGGCCAGTTTTGAAGTCAAAGCAAGTGCAGTGTCTGAGGTAGCAGATGCCCCATCAGCAGGGGTTGCTTCCCTTTGAGACAGGCTGTAGCAACTAAGCCCACAGCTTTACCTGCCGTTACAGCCTTGACACTGCTCTTGGTTCAGCTTAGCTGCTCCCACTTCAGCTAGGCCCCAAGGATTCATGGGCTGATGTTACTTGTCAGCACCACCAGTCCCGGCCAAGCCAAGGCTCTGCTGCATGTGGGCACCACAGAAGCCCCTCCACCCTTCCCTGCCTCCATCCTCACCCAGCCCCTCCCCTGCCATCAGCCATTCCCCACACAGCAGGCTCAGTGAGCTCCTCAGATGGACCTGGACCTTGCTGTCCCCACAGCTCCCCATCATGCTGACACTTAAGCCTCAACCCCCTATGGTGGCCTCCAAGGCCCTACCAGATATGACCCGACCATCCTGCAACCCCACCTCTTACATCACCTCCACTGGCCGATGGTTGGTCCCAGAAAACACCCAGAGAATGCCCCGCTTCTTTTAGTTTCCATGCCTGCTGTTTCTGGGCTGCTATCCCTGAGGTCTTTGGGTGTAGGGGGACACAGGAAGCTGATCCTTACTGGGCCTACCCTAGCCCTCTGCATCCCACTCTCACCTCCCAGACACTGTCACAGAAGGACAGGCTCTTCCCAGAGCTAGAGAGAGATACAGGGACTCACCTCTATCACTGTAGTCATCTACAAGGATCACTTCTTCCAGCAGGATATCCGGGGATGTCTCAAGGACACTGTAAACTGTCCGAAGGAGAGTTGACCAGGCTTCATTATAAAATGCTATGATAACAGATGTCCTGGGCAAATTATCGTAATCATATTTCTTCTCTTTGCACCTGCAAATACAGTGCAACTTCAGGAACTAAGAACCTAGCCCAGGCTGACACTGGGGAGGGAGCGACAAAGGGAACATAGGTCATGGTCCCCTGGGGAAGGGAACATAATCCGCTGAAGGATCTTCCAGAGCTCCCCTTGTGGCACTAGGAGCCCCAGCAGACTCCAAGAAAGGTCCTAACCATGACCCCCACGTAGCTTTTACTGTGGGATACTGTTTTAAGCTGTAAAGCAACTTTCAAATTTGAGCGACATACAAACCAGGCAGAATAAGCAGGAAGGAAACTGGCACTTCTTCCTTCCCCATTGCCCTCCTCTCTGGTCACTCGGCCACAATCCCACTCCCAGGCCTTGGCTCAGACTGTTCCCTCTACTGGGAATGCCCTTCCTCCCTTCTCTACTTGGCAAACTCCTTGTCCTCTTTCAACAACAGCTGAGGTCTGTTATCTGTGAACTGCCTGGGACCACCTACCTCAGGCAGTTGATGGCTCCTCAATGCTCCTCCAGCACCTGGCCCACCTCCACCTCGGCATGTGCCACTCATAGTATTTTGGTATTCAAGTACCACTGTACCACTCCCTACCTTCTTCCAACATCCACTTCTGTATAGGCTTAGCAAAGGTGGTGCCCCAAATACATAAACTAGAATTGTGGCTAAGACCTATGAACACTCCAGGAAGGACTCTGCAGAGGACACTGGTTACCTCCCCAGTATCCCTGCTGCCACCCGCCCTGCAAGATGTGGCAGCTGTGTGGCAGGGTGGGGCTGAGCCCACCCAGCTGCAGCAGTGGGCCTGACTGGCAGTGATTAGAACCAATAAGCTCCCTCTTTGTTTAGCAATTTGCTGTCACTTTGAACTGAAGGTTGACTGGTTGACACAGAATTCTATCCTGAGTGACTGATGACAAATTCCCAATGTCACAGGACTGACTAAGGGGCAGTGCCTGGAGACTGTCAGTGGGAAGTAGCTAAGGGCAAGGTGCGAGAAGGACACCATGGGGATACCAGAAGGACCAGAGTTTGAATGCTGGGGGCTGGCCAAAGGCTAGACCAAGGGATCAGCTAGATATTCAAGAAGGGGGTTAAATGCTGGAGAGCAGCCAGGGTCCCTGGATAGCTAAGGCAAGGCCTTCCCCAGACAAGCTCAGGGACAGATCAAAGAGGACAGGAGAAAAGATACCAAACCAGGCAGGAGGAAAAGGGTAAGTGACATCTGCTGTCTACCACAAACCAGCATTGTGCCACTGGGCCCTTTATTAGTCAGTCACCAAACACTTCCTGAGCACGCACTGCTTGCCAGATAGGCCCGACCCCTGCTCCCATGGAGCTCACATTCAGGGGGACAATAATCAAGTAAACAAAAAAGTGATCGGGCTATGGAAAATGGAAAGGAGGGTAATAAAAAAGAACAACTTTGAAACTATGAAAGTGAAAAAGAGGGCCAGGCACAGTGACTCATGCCTGTAATCCCAGCACTTTGGGAGGCGGAGGCAGGTAGATCATGAGGTCAGGAGTTCAAGACTGGCCTGGCCAAGATGGTGAAACGCTGTCTCTACTAAAAATACAAAAATTAGCTGGGTGCGGTACCACACACCTATAATCCCAGCTATGTGGGAGGCTGAGGCAGAGAATGGCTTAAACCCAGGAGGCAGAGGTTGCAGTGAGCCAAGATTGCACCACTGCACTCCAGCCTGGGCAACAGTGCAAGATTTTGTCTAAAAAAAAAAGTGATAAAAAGAGGAGTGGGGAATGGGAAGGAGAGCAACTACAGGGCAGGTGAGCTGGGAGGGGCGCTTGGAAGAGGTATTTAGGCATTTAGGATGACTTGAATGATGAGGGACCCAGCCCCAGGAAAAGTCAGAGAAGAGCCCTTAGCATACAAAAGTATTTGTTTTTTCTTCTTTTATTTTACGATTAGAAATTTCAACATTAAAAAAGCAGAACAAGGCCAGGTGCAATCACTGACGCCTGTAATCTCAGCACTTTCAGAGGCTGAGGCAGGTGGATCACTTGAGGCCAAGAGTTCGAGACCAGCCTGATCAACATGGTGAAACCCCATCTTTACTAAAAATACAAAAATTAGCCAGATGTGGTGGCACGTGTCTGTAATCCCAGCTACTCGGGAGGCTGAAGCATGAGAATCACTTGAACCCCAGGAGGTATAAGTGGCAGTGAGCCAAGACTGTGCCACTGCACGCCAGCCTAGACAACAGATCAAGACTCTATCTCAAAAAAAAAAAAGTAGAACAAATGAAAAACTGCTGGGTACCCTTTGCCTAGTGACAACAATTCTCAACTCATGGTCAATCTATCCTGATTCATCTATGTCAACACCACTCCCTCTGCCCCAGATTCTCTCTAAAGAAAATCCAGCATATTGTAGCCTCCAAAAATAGTTCAGTATGTATCTCTCACAGGTAAGGACTCTTTTTTTAATAAGCATAGTTTCCTTGTCATTCCTTAGAAGTGACCTTAGTGCTCCAGTCTATAGTATTTCAACAAAGTTAAGCAGCCCTGGGTTGGAAGACACAATATTCTTTAATGAACCGATAAGAAGAGATACCATCTTGCATCAGTCAAAATGGCCATTATTAAAAAGTCAAAAAACAACAGATACTGGTGAGGTTGTGGAGAAAGAGGAATGCTTTTACACTGTTGGTGGGAGTGTAAATTAGTTCAACCATTGTGGAAGGCAGTGTGGCAATTCCTCAAGGACCTAGAGGCAGAAATACCATTTGACCCAACAATCCCATTACTGGGTATACACCCAAAGGAATATAAATCATTCTGTTACAAAGATACACGCACACATATGTTCACTGCAGTACTGTTCACAATAGCAAAGACATGAAATCAACCTAAATGCCTATCAATGACAGACTGAATAAAGAAAATGTGGTATATATACACCATGGAATACCATGCAGCCATAAAGAGAATGAGATTAAGTCCTTTGCAGGGACACGGATAGAACTGGAAGCCATCATCCTCAGCAAACTATGGCAAGAACAGAAAACCAAATACCACATGTTCTCACTTATAAGTGAGGGCTGAATTATGAGAACACATGGATATATGGAGGAGGACAACACACACTGGGGCCTGTCAGAGGTGGGGGTGGGAGGAGGAAGAACATCAGGAAGAATAGCAAATGCATGCAGGGCTTAATACCTAGGTGATGCGATGATCTGTGCAGCAAACCACCATGGCACATGTTTACCTATGTAACAAACATGTACAACCTGCACAGGTGCCCATGAACTTTAAAGTTGGGAGGAAAAAAAGCCAAGTGCTGCATAACGGTAAGATGCACTGATTTTTAAGACACATGCTAATTTTAGAAATGATGAAATATGGGGAAAAATATGCCTCTGAATTGATGACATGTAGTACTTCATTTTACCTTCAAAACCACTTCCTATGTTCACCGCTCCCACGTTAAAGGCTAAGAAAGGCAGAGTGACTTGGTTGGTTCACAGAGCACCTGCTAGTGTGTACTGGGCTGAGATCTCTGTGTCCAGGGATCTTGTTGCAAGGTTCTGGTTTGTTCCTTCTATCCCACAGGAGGCTCAGGTGGGCCATCTGAATCTAAAGATCCCTGTATCACATCTCCCCACCTGGCCCTCCCTCCTACCAAGACAAGGACAATTTCTCTTCTCCCTTTTGGGGTCTAGGGTCCTCTTCCCTGGAATGAGTTCCATGTGCCTCTTCCTAATGCCAGGACCACTTCTACAGCATGTTCCAAGGCTGCCTGGCAGTGGCCTTGCTCTGCTGTCACTGGGATGGTTTCCCTTTAGCTGTGAACAGGATTATCTAAGAATCTCTGATAGGGGCTGGCTCTTCTCAGCCAGCTTTATATACTCATCCCTGCTGCATCTGGAGGCCCTGATCTGGGCACTTGAGAAGAGACCAACCCAGGCTAGAAGCATGAAAGCTCTGATGTCGTGAAGCCACTGGGCATCCCCACCAGCACCTAGCCAGCCAGAAGCCGAATCCCCAGACACCATAGGCTTTCAACTCATGTAAGTAGTTAACTTAGCATTGACCCCATGGAAGGCTTTGTGCTCCAGAGAAGGGAGTCTGGTCCACAATCAAGGGGAGGAGAATGTGGCTCCATCTCTTGGACAGAGGCTATCAAAGAATTTGCAGATATATTTTAAAACCACCACACATGCCGAGCGCGGTGGCTCATGCCTGTAATCCCAGCACTTTGGGAGGCTGAGGCAGGTGGATTGCTTGAGGTCAGGAGTTCGAGACCAGGCTGGCCAGCCCTGTCTTTAAAAAAAAAAAATATATATATATATATATATATATTTATATATATATAATAAAAAAATATATATAAATATATATATATATAAAAATATATATATATAAATATATATATATATATATATATATAAATATATATATATTAAAAATATATATATATAAATATATATATATTAAAATATATATATATAAATATATTAAAATATATATATATTAAAATATATATATATTTTTTAAAAAAAAAAAAAAAAAACAAAAAGAAACCATACATGAAAAGCAGGAGAAACACTGTGTGACTTCCAAGACTAGATCATGAAACGCTGAGGTTTCCTATTTGTTTCCTCAATGGAATGTATCATCCATTCTGGAGAAAGCTGGCTGCCATGTTGTGAGGATACTCAAGCAGCCCTATGGAGGAGTCTATGTGGCAAGCAACTGAGGCTTCCTGCCAACAGCCATTGCAATCTTTCCGGCCACGTGAATGAGCCATTTTGGAAGCAGAACCTCCAGCCCCACCCAATTATGCCTTCAGGGGATCAAAGTTCCAAGTGACAGCTTGGCTATAATCTCAAGAGATATTCCAAGCCAGAACCACCCAGCTAAGCAACTCCTAAATTCCTAGTTCATAGAAACTATGTGAAATAATAAGTGTTTATTGTTATTTTAAGCCACTAAACTTTGTGGTAATACATACTATGAAATAAATCACAAGGAAAGTATCTGACAGAC